TCTTTGGTTTCCTTCTCTCGATTTACCTCTAGGTATTCCTAGTTGGAGCTAAATCACCACCCGGGCTCACAGTTCAGCAGGCAGAGTGGAAAAGCAAGCCCCAAAGGTCAAACCTAGCTCGCCGAGCCCTCCTTGCTTTGCTCTTCTTCCAAGCGTCAAGCCAGGGCCAAGGCTACGGCTGAGCTTTTAATTGCCTTTCAATTCAAAGACCAAGTTTCTGCCCCCCCGGCAAAGCTTCAAACGTGCAGCTTCACGACGTGTTTCAACGTTCGCTGCACGAGGAGGCAAGCGCGGTGCAAAGCACCCGTTTCCAGGCCAGATCACACGGTTCGAGGCACCCTCAACCACACCCATATAAAACATTATTATCTTTTATCGCCTGTCGCCTACCTGTATGGCTGGCGTTTTTCTACCGCTTTTTCACTAATCTTCTTCTTATCTTCCTGGCTTTTATAGAGGCTCTGTGCCAAAGGTTGAAATATGGATCCTTCCACGTTGTGCCAAGCAGTTATAGACAAAGCACCTTCTAAAATTAAACTCCCCATGTTCATGGGGGGATAGACCCAAGAGCATTATGTGCAAGGAAAGGGAACGGCCTCCAACAATAGGATTTTACTAAACAGCATTTAAGCCACGCTCATTACTCTGAAGCACTGAAGAATTGGCCCGTGCTCTGTTCTACCCACCAAATGAATCAACGGGGCTGACAAAGCAGCAGCTCAGGCGGCTCCGACGCCAAAAACCTCTGCTTTAATAGCGGCGAGAGGCAGAAAGCACAGCTTGACATTCAAGGAGCAAGCTGTGCTCCCAGGATGGAGAGCCTGGGACAAAAAAAGTAACCTTCTGTTTTGTAAATTGGCACGTACATAACGCGAAACTTTGCAACCCTTCGGTTCCCTTCATCTGGGCTTCTCAGCACGGCCTCAAAACATTTAATAAGCCTTAGTTGCCAGGCAGTTGAGGATTATTAAACCAAGTACATGTGTTTAAGCAGGACATGTTCTCCCGGCTAAAGAAAGTTGTCATTATGAGCCCAAGAGCACAGGAGGCTCCAACGGCACCTGAGCCCACGGCCCACACGGCAATGTTCCCGACGGCCAGGGGACGCAGGGAACGTGCTGAACCATCGCCCCCGTTTCCTCATGGAAACGCCCTTAAAAAATGAAATCTCCGGGTGCAAACGGTCCAGGTGAGTCAGGGCTTTGAGTCAGGCTCGCAGATAAGCGGCGGCCGGGGTTACTCGGCTGGAGGCCTCTCCTGTTCATGAGCATGAAGGAACAAAACACATTTTCCGAGTCACCTCCAAGGGAGCCAAAGCCTCCAGGTGCTTCCCATGGCCTCGGTTCGCTGGTCACTGCTGCTCCGAGCGAGCCCATCTGCCACGGGCCACTCACGCCTCGTCCTCTGCCCCTTTATGGGCTCCTGACCGACCCTGCAGTGAGGAGTAACGCAGAGAATTCAGCAAAAAGGTGGCCAAAGGTGATGCTGCAGGCTCCGCTGCGTTTCCAGCCTGTAACGAGGACTCGTGCAGAGAATTCAATAAAACTGATGTGTTCAAAGGTGGGTCCTGGGGCCTTGTTAATCAGCTGTGAGAAGCAGGTCCAAGATAACGTCGTGGACGGGTTGGAGCATTTGGAGCCAGGGCAGCAGTGCAAGGCAACAAGAAAGGGGTTGTAAAGGTGCTTGCGTGAGGCTGAGCAGAGGGAGATGTGTGCCAAGGAGCGCCTGGTTTGCCCCCAAAATGGGCAAATCCTTCACCCTTTGTCACCACTTCTGGGGCACGCAGGGACCCGGGGGTCAGGGCAGCCCGGAGCCTGCAGCGGCTGTGGGAGGATAAAATAAAACGCAGCGAGCGACAACAAATCAACCCAAACGGGCAGAATCGCGCACGTTTACCAACGCCGGCACCCCAATATCCAGGCTATATTCGGAGAAAACCATGGATTAGCCCATGCCAGGGAACACCGGCATAAGGAAAAAATTCCAACCTTGAAGCCGTACAAAGAAAAGCAGTTTTAAAACCAGAGCGGTGCTCAAGGCAAAAGCAACCGTGGTTGTCCCCCAGGAACCCAGAGCTTATACCAACACCACGAAACAAACATTTACTCGCCCAAAACTCGAAGAATTTCAGGGTAAATGAGGGAAAGAACACAGTTTTAATAAGTAAGCCGCTTGAGTTCATAGTTACATGGAATTTTTAGATCTTGCTGATCATTTTTGGTCTTGTCAAGTGTTTGCTGGACAAACTACAGGTTTTTTTTTTTTCGCCCTCACATTTTAAAATATATATATAAGCAGGGTTATATTAAGTAGATGTTGATTGCAGGTACCACAGCAGATTGGTGCTGGGTACCCCTCGAAGCCACATCCATTTGTTTTGGGTTTGTTTCTGCGCTCAGCTCTCCTCCAACAGGCACCCAACTCTCAGCCACCGGGCAGGGAAGAGCTTCGCACCTCAGCAGACATGGGATTTTACTTAAACCGCACCAATCGAACCCAAGATCCCACCGGGTGCTTGCAAAAGCGGCGCCGCCGGCGCTGCATGGAGGTCCTGGTGCCGGGGAGCTGCTGCGGAGCGGGAACAGACCGTGCTCCGGCGACGCATCCCGCTTCCTCCGGCACCAGACTGCGAGCTCCCGGCGGGCAGCTCTGCCGCTCCGCGCGCTTCCTGGCGCCGCTTCCCGCATCCAGATTTCTCCCTGGATCTTGGCACCCTCTGCTCCTTCTATAAACCCCCTCTGCGGGCTCGTTTAGGAGGAGATATTTTGGGTAACGACCCTGCTGTCGATATTCCCCTCGCCTCCTAAGAGGCTCACTGGTGCAAACGGGGCAAGAAAGGGAAGATTTAGCACCATGCTGCCCTTTTTTCATGGGGAAAAAGCCTTCTGAAACAAATGCCAGCAAAAAGGAAGGAGAAGGAGGGTTTCAGAAGCACAAGTGCCCTGGAGAAGAGATCTGGGTATCCCGAAGGCTTCTGAAAGGAGAGGGATAGGATTGGGGTGTCAAAGGGAAGGACTCTGGACCTGCCATGAGGTTAAGTGCTGATATGGATATCTGGGAGTCACCTGGAGGGGAGGTCCCCTTGGAAGTGGGGGAAAGCGGTTCAGGAGCTTGGGCTTCAAGAGGCTGAGGTGGAAAATCTGGAAATCCCCCTTAGAAACCAGAGATGGAGCCGGAAAATCAGAGGCATTGGGAAAATGGTGGCTCTTAGCTTGGGAAGGAGACAAACAGCTTCTTCCCGCACTCCCAAGGGGATGCAAGTCACCTCCTTAGCAGGAAACCGCCCAGCTCCTCAACCTAGGAACCAATTCCCCCCTCCAGGGATTCCTAAGGGGGATGCAGGAGCCCTCAATCCCGGCCTCTCCATTTGCCTCCCCACCGGAGCCTCCAGGCAGCATTCCCACGTTCGGGGTCTCCAGGCGGCATTCCCACATCCGGGAAGCCCCGCAGGGTGCCAGGGACACGTGTCCCCTCCTCGCGGGCTTCGGGACGAAGGCCACGCAAGGTGACAGCGCAGACGGGCGGAACGTACGGACACAGCCCCCTGCCCGGGAGGTCCCTAGCAAGCACCTACACGGATACGCCCTCCTGTATGGACACGGGTAGACGGATAAGTACGGATATGCGCTCCAGCATGGATAGGGGCACGCGGATGAGTACGGATACGCGCTCCAATATGGATACGGTAACATAGGTAAATAGGGATATGCACTCCAGCATGGATTGGGCACGCAGATAAGCACGCATACGCGCTCCCCCATGGATACAGGCACATGGATAAGCAGGGATATGCGCTCCAGCATTGATAGGGCACTTGGATAAGTACGGATACGCGCTCCAGCATGGATACGTGCTCCAGAATGGATACGTGCACATAGGTAAGTAGGGATATGCACTCCCGCATGGATATGGGCACATGGATAACTATAGATACACGCTCCTGCATAGATACGGGCTCATGGATAAGCAGGGATATGCACTCCAGCATGGATATGCGCTCCAGCATGGATACGGGCACGTAGCTGAGTACGGATACGTGCTCCAGAATGGATAAGCACACAAATAAGTATGGATATGCACTCCCCCATGGATATGGACACATGGGTAAGTACGGATACGCGCTCCAGCACGGATATGCACTCCAGCATGGATACGGGCACTACGGATACGTGCTCCAGAATGGATCGGGCACGCAGATAAGTATGGATATGCGCTCCCCCATGGATACGGGCATATGGATAAGCACGGATATGCGCTCCAGCATGGATATGCGTTCCAACATGGATACGGGCACTACGGATACGTGCTCCAGAACGGATTGGGCACGCAGATAAGTATGGATATGCGCTCCCCCATGGATACGAGCACATGGATAAGCAGGGATACGCACTCCAGCACGGATACGCGCTCCAGCACGGATACGGGCACTATGGATACGTGCTCCAGGATGGATGGGGCACGCAGATAAGTATGGATACGCGCTCCCCCATGGATACAGACACATGGATAAGCACGGATACGCGCTCCAGCACGGATACGGGCACTACGGATACGTGCTCCAGAATGGATGGGGCACACAGATAAGTATGGATACGCGCCTCACCATGGATATGGGCACATGGATAAGCACGGATACGCGCTCCAGCACGGATACGCGCTCCAGCACGGATACGGGCACTATGGATACGTGCTCCAGGATGGATGGGGCACGCAGATAAGTATGGATATGCGCTCCCCCATGGATACGGGCACATGGATAAGCAGGGATACGCGCTCCAGCATGGATACGCGCTCCAGCACAGATACGGACACCTGCTGCATCCCCACAGCGCCCGGGCGCGCGCTCCTATAGGCTTCCTATAGCGCCCGGTACGTAGGGACACACAGAGGTGTCCCCGGGCACACGCACACGTGCCCGCGGGTGCCCGCGCGTTACATAAGCGCCGGCGCGCGCCTATAGGCGCCTATAGGTGCCCCCGGCACCCCCCCCGCGCCGGTACCTTCTTGACGGTGCGCGGCGCCTCCGTGACGGAGCCGTCGGGGCTGACGAGCGGCTCGGGGGCGGCGCCGCCGCCGTCGCCGCCGTCGCGGTGCCGGTGCTGCGGGTGCAGCGGGTCGCTGCGCTTCATGGCCGAGGCCTGCGGCACCTTGGCGGCGGGAGGAAGGCGGGCGCCCGGCGGAGGCCGCGCGGCGCCGCCCGCCGGCGCCTCGCGCTCCGGGGGCGCCGGGCAGGCGGCGGCGCGGGCGGGCAGCTCGGCGCAGGGCCCCGCCGCCTTCTCCATGGGGCCGCTCAGCTCCTTGAGCTCCACGGCGGGAGCCGCCACCTGCACCGACATCGTCGTCGCCGCCGCCTCCCTCAGGCAGCGCCCGCCCCGCCCCGCCCGCCCGCGGGGCACCACGGGACGCGCGGGCGCCGCCCCGGAACTACGGCTCCCAGCGGCCCCCGCGCCGCGCGCCGCACGCCCCGCGCCGCCCGCGCCGCGCGGGATGACGGGAAGCGTAGTTCTGGGGGGGAGGTGGTTTAGGTGGGGGAGCGGCGCCGGCCCCCCCCCGGCGGGGCTCGGTGACGTCACAAGGGGAGGGTGGAAAGGGGAGAAAGGGAGAAAAAGGAAGAATGGGGAAAGAGGAGGGGAGGAAAAGAGGAGGAAAGGAAAAGAAGTGGAAAAGGAGGGGAAAAGAGGAGGGGAGGAAAAGAGGAGGAAAAGGAGGGGGAAGAGGAGGGGAGGAAAAGAAAAGGGGAGGGGAAAATAGGAGGGGAGGGAAAAAGGAGGAAAAGGAGAGGGAAAGAGGAGGAGAGAAAAAGAGGAGGAAAAGGAGGGGGAAAGAGGAGAGGAGGAAAAGAGGAGGAAAAGGAGGGGGAAAGAGGAGAGGAGGAAAAGAGGAGGAAAAGGAAAGAGGAGAGGAGGAAAAGAGGAGGAAAAGGAAAGAGGAGAGGAGGAAAAGAGGAGGAAAAGGAGGGGAAGAGAGGAAGGGAGGAAAAGAGGAAGAAAAGGAGAGGAAAAGAGGAGGGGAGGGAAAGAGGAGGAAAAAGAGGGGGAAATAGGAGGGGAGAAGAAAAAGTGAAATAGAGAGGAGGAAGAAGAGGGGAAGACAGAGAAAGAGAGGAAAAAAGGAAAGAAGACAGAAGAGGAGCAAAAAGACAGAGAAAAAAAAGGTGAAAAATAGGAAAAGGGAGGAAGAGATAAAAGAGAAGTAAAAATGAGGAAAAAAAAAGATGAGGAAAAGGAGAGGAAAAAAGAGATAAGGAAAAAAAAGAGAGGAAAAAAGAGCGGAAGAGGCAAAAAATAAAAAAGGGAAAAAGGAGGATGACAAAAGAGTATGGGAAAAAGAGAAAAAGTGGGGGGGAAGGAGAAAAGAGGGGAAAAAAGGGGGAAAAAAGAGAGAAATAGAAAAGTAGAGGAAAATAAAAAGGGAAAAAAAAATGACAAGAGGGACGCGGGCGCAGCGCGGGGAGGCGCCGGGCGCTTCCCGGGACGAGGCGGCCGCGCCGGGAGCGCCGCACGGGGGGGCGGCTGCCCCCTGCTGGCGAGCGGCCAAACTGCCGCCCGATCCCATCCCTTCCCTTCCCATCCCACCCCGATCCCATCTCATCCCTTCCCTTCCTATCCCACTCCAATCCCATCCCTTCCCATCCCAACTCGATGCCATCTCATCCCTTCCCAACCCATTCCAATCCCATCTCATCCCTTTCCATCCCACCCTGATCCCATCCCCATCCCTTCCTTTCCCATCCCTCTCCAATCCCATCCCACTCCCATCTCATCCCATCCCATCCCATCCCAAGGTGATCCCATCTCATCCCTTCCCTTTCCATCCCACCCTGATCCCATCCCAATCCCTTCCCATCTCATCCCATCCCTTCCCAATCCCATCTCCCTCCCTACCCATCACAGCCCATCCGCATCCCACCCCACTTCCCACCTTCCCACCCCATCCCAGACCTGGCTGCCTCCCAAACCACCCCAGGAGTCCACACAATTCCCCCGGGAATCGCAGCCAGGCGCCTTCCTCCTCTACCCAGGCTGCAGCCCAAGGTCCGGGAATTTTCCCGGTCCGGTGCCACGAGGAGCCCAGCGGAACCATGAGGGAAACTCGGAAAATTTAATACTGATACAGGGGGGATTTTCCTTTCACGCCGCATTGGGAGAGCCCCGAGCCGGGGTCTAATGCGCAACGTGACGCTCCATGGGAATAACGGACGGATACAACACACGCCGGTGAGGACAGGGATGCTCTGGCGTCGCGGCGTGCCTGCGGTACCTTTAACTCGGGGCTTTTGCCCTAAAAATGCCCTGGGCTGGGGGAAGCGGGTGCCCGGGAATGCTGGGCTGCAGGAATGCTGTGGCCAGCCCCGGCTCGTGACATGGAGATTAAAAACCTTACAAAAAATATAAAATAAACCCCTACGGACGCAAGTATTGGAAAGCTCTACGGAGCACCGAGGCGTCGTTCCCGCGGGAGTCGGCCTTTTCCCAGGAAGCTCAGCTCATCTACCCTAACCTAAGGCCCCCGGGGTCCTCCCCTCGGAGCCAAGCGGGAGCCACAGTCCCCTCCGAAGTCCCCAACCAGGACCAGGCAGTGTCTTCTGCTCCGAGTGCCACCCTGGCTCTGAGTTCGGATCCCGACCGGAATGCGTGGGGCTCTGAGTCCGGATCCTGGACAGAATGCGTGGGGCTCCCACTCCAGATCCCAGCTGGAACGCATGGGGCTCCCACTCTGGATCCCGGCCGGAACGCGTGGTGCTCCCACTCTGGATCCCGCCCGGAATGAGTAGGGCTCCCGGTCTGGATCCCAGCCGGAACGCGTGGGGCTCCCACTACAGATCCCAGCCAGAACGTGTGGGGCTCCCACTCCAGATCCCGGCTGGAACACACAGGGCTCCCAATCCGGATCCCAGCTGGAACGTGTGGGGCTCCCAGTCCGAATCCCAGCTGGAACGCACGGGGTTCCCTCTCCGGATCCTGGCCGGAACACACAGGGCTCCCAGTCTGAACCCTGGCAGGAATGAGCAGGGCTCCCAGTCCAGATCCCGGCCGGAACGTGAGGGCTCCTCCGCAGGGCTGCGGGGCGTCCCCAGGCGCTCACGGCACCGCTCGCCGCACGTCCTAGAAGTCCGAGTCGGCGTCCAGCAGCTCCGCGTCCACCAGGTTGGTGCGGGAATGGATGGGAGCCAGGGCGAGCCGGCGGCACGGCGGCACCGGCAGCGCGCCAGGGGCCCAGGCGTCCGGCCAGGGCGCTGCGGGCGCCAGGGGACAGCGGCCGGGGCCGAAGGGGACCCCGGGAAGCGGCGGCAGCGGCGGCGGCAGCGGCTCCGGACAAACCTCCTTCTTCTTCTTCTTCCGCCGCTTCTTCCGCCGGGCGCCGCGTTTCCGCGGCTCCGGAGAGACGTCGCCGTCGGGCGCCCACGGCACCGCGCGCTCCTCCGGTGGCACTGCGGGCGTCAGAGGGGCGTCAGAGCCACCGGGGACCCCCGCGCGGCGCCGCCACCCGCTTTGTCACTTGCCTGGCGTGGCCACGGGTGTCACCGAGACGTCCTGGGGCAGGATGGCGCCCCGGCGGGCTACCATCTTGGTGACGTGCTGCGCCCACGCCGAGGACACGTCGGCCGACGGCTCGTTGATGTCGAAGGCCAAGCCGGCTGCGGGGACAAGCGGGCGCTGGGGGGACGCGAGGGGGCCCCGGCGTCCGGGCCGCGCCGCGCGCGCCCGCCGGCCGTACCCACGGGCCCGTCGTGCGAGACGGTGTGCATGCTGAAGGAGAGCTCGCGCGCCGGGTCGCGCAGCAGCTCCTTGCGCTTGGAGAACGCCTTGGCGATCATCTTGCTCTTCTTAATCCTCTTGGGCTGGTCGTCGCTCTGCCCTGTCAGCCTGGCGCAGGGGGACACCCGCACGTGGGCACGCAGGGCACGGGTCAGGGCCACACAAGAGGCTCCCGTGCCCTGGAGAGGCTTCATCCACACAAACCTCCATCTGCCGAGACCCTGCAACTCATCACAGCCATGGGCAAAGGGGGAGCGGGGGACTCACCTGCACCACGTGCGCTTCCAGATGAGCAGGGTGGCCTTGGTCCACACCCAGGTGCTCATGGAGACACCGGTGCCGAACATGGCGAAGAGGTTGATCTTCTCCACGAGCAGGCTGGGCCGGTTCTTGATCTCGCACTCGGGGATGGGCTTGTTGGTCTGCGTGGCGATGGTCACGTTGGCCTCGCACCTGCGGAGCGGGAGGGACGCGGTGACGGCGGCCGCGGGACGGTGACGCCGCGCGGCCGCCTCCGCTCCCGTCCCACTCACAGGACGTATTCGCGGAAGCTGCGCTCCCACTCCGCCTGGTTGAAGAAGTCGTAGAAGTGGCACCCAAAGGTGATGAAGACGAAGCCGAAGGCCAAGAAGCCGAAGATGCCTGGAAAGGGGAGGCCCGTGGGCGCCGGCTCCGTCCCCGAGCTCCCCACGGGGCCGGGCCGCGGCGCGCGCCGCTTACCCAGCCGCAGCATGGTCTCGTTGATCTTGCTGGCCGCCTTCTCGCTCAGCAGCCCGGGGTGGTTGCTTTTGATGGAGAAGAGAGTCATGACCCCTGTGGTGGATGGACAAGGACGTCACATGAAGTCACATCGTGCATGGGTGGCGAGGGGCACCGTGGTCGTCTCCTGCGGTCCGGGCGCGTCCCGTCCGCGTCCTCGCTCACCGCGGATGAGGAAGTAGCCGCCCACGATGAGGACGAGCCCGATGGGCGCCAGGACGAAGCCGGCCCGGTAGCGGTAGTTCTTGTAGCCCACGAAGCAGATGCCGCTGACGGAGTCGCCGTCCACCTGGGGGATGCGGGGTGGTCGGAGGGCCCCATCGAGCGCCCCGCTCCAACAGGGGGGACCCCGGCGAGCGCCCCGGCGCGCGCGGCTCCCCTACCTGGGCCACGGCCAGGATGGCCACGGTGAGCACGAAGGGGATGGACCAGGTGATGAGGTGGAAGTAGGAGGTCTTGCCCACCAGCGGCTGGTAGGTGGTGCCCAGCGCCTTGAAGGACGTGTGCCAGGCGTAGGTGAGCATCACGAACCAGATGACGCCCGACATGAGCGAGTAGTAGACGATGACGAAGATGATGACGCACGAGAGCGTCTCGTTGGAGCTGCGGAGGACACGGGGGCGTCACGCGCGGAGCGGGGGCCACCCCGGCGCCCCTCGCCCCGGGGAGGAGACGGGGGCCGCACGCACGTGGGCTCGCCCAGCCGCATGGTGCCGTCGGCGCGGCACACGATCTCGTTGCGGGCGCCGTCCATGAACTGCGCCAGCCAGCCAATGCTGCCCACGAAGAAGCACGCGTTGACGTAGAAGAGGATGACGGCCGGGTAGCGGTTGGAGTTCCTCCAGTCGGCGACGAAGGTGGCCTGGCGAGCGGGGGACCAGGGGTGGGCATGGGGGGGCTCCGCTCCGCGCGCTGCTCCCGGGACGCAGCCCCGTAGCCAGGACACGACCTTGACCCACGTCACGAGGACGGTGGGACACCGCGGTGGTGGAATAAAGAGCGCGCGGCCCCGCGGGGCTCCGCTCACCAGCGTGAAGAAGGTGCAGAAGATGGTGACGGAGCTGAAGGCGGCGATGTAGACGTGCATCTCGCGGTGCTCCTTCTCGGTGAAGAGCGGGTTCTGGCACTGGATGCCGCAGCCCTCCACGTCCTCGTACCAGCTCTTGGGGTTGTCGGTCCGCACCAGCGGCGCCTCGCACTGCCCCGAGCTGTTGAACTTGATGTTCTGCACCTCGTTCTGCGCCGCCGCCGAGGGACACGAGGGGACACCACGATGGCCAAGGCACCCGGCGCAAGGAGCGCCCACAGAATCACAGAAGAATCACAGAATATTCAAGGTTGGAAGGGACCTCTAGAGATCATCTAGTCCAAGCTTCCCGCTCCAGCAGGGACACCCAGAGCATGTGGCACAGGGTGGCATCCAGGCGGGTTTTGGAGACCTCCAGAGAAGGAGACTCCCCAGCCTCCCTGGGCAGCCTGTGCCAGGGCTCGGGCACCCTCACCGCACCCGCTCGGTGTGGCCTCCCCACGGACACAACCGGCCTCTCCCAACACAGAGGTGAATCCCGGGGACTGCGGGGACACCACGGAGCGGAGGGGACGGGTTTGGGGACATGAGTGTCCCTTACCGGGCAGCCCTCGGGGAAGTGATCCAGCGTGCACTTGAGGAAGTCGGGCCAGCCGCGCTCACGCTCCACGATGGTGCAGGGCGCGCGCGTGGCCTGGCACAGCGTCTGGCTCGGCAGCTCCACCTGCCCGTCCTCGCACTTGGGCATGTAGACGGCGCAGAGCAGCGGCTGGATGACGTCCCAGCAGCGCGGCGCGTTGCGCAGCCCTGCGGCGAGGAGGACGCCGTGAGGTCCCCACGGCCTCCCGGCAAGGAGGCGCCGCCGCCGCGTGTCCCCGGCAGCGCCGCGCGCCCGGCCGCGCCGGGACCTGCTCTGCGGCAGCACGGGCGTCCGTGGCGGGCACCTTCCTATACTGTGCACTCCCTCATTATATCACATCTTATATACTTATATACACTTATATACACTACCTTATCTTACTTATATACACTATACTGTGTACCTCCTTTCTATACTGCACCCCTACCCCACTCTATCACAACCCCCTCGCTATACTGCACCCTTACCCCCTATACTGCACACTACTATACACCACTATCCCCCACACTATGAGCTCCTTGCTATACTGCACCCCCTTCCCCACCTTGTGCACCCCCTACCCCTCTGTACCACAATCCTACCCCGCTATACTGCCCTCCACCTTGCTCTAATGCACCCTAGCCCGTTATACCACATCCCTATCTCACTCTACCATACGCCAACCCCACTATACTGCCCCCCATGCACTATACCGCGCACCTCCGCTCTACTGCACCCATACCCTACCCTATCGCACCCCTACCCTATACTGCATCCCCACCCCATTGTGCTCAACCCCTACCCGACTCTAACATGCCCCTACCCACTATACTGCACTCCTCCACACTCTATCACACCCCTACACACTATACTACACTCCCACCCCACAATACCACACCGCTCCTTACTATATCACACCCCTACCTCGCTATACCATGCACCCCCACTATACTGCACCCATACCCCACTCTTCCAGACATCCTGCCCCACTATACCACACCTGTACCCCGCTATGCACTCCTGCTATACTGCACCCCTACCCTCCTATACCGCACCCCCTACCTCGCTATACCTCATGCCCTCCTCGCTATACCAGGCGCCCTCACTATACTGCACCCCTACACCACTCTACTGCACTCATACCCCGCTATACCACACACTCTCACTATACTGCACCCCTACACCACTCTACTGCACTCATACCCCGCTATACCACACACACTCACTATACTGCACCCCTAACGCACCATGCTGCACTCACACCTTGCTATACTACACACTCACTATACTGCACCGCTACCTTGCTATACTGCACGCCTACCCCACCATACCGCACATTCATATCCTGCGATACCACACTCCCACTGTACTGCACCCCTGCCCTGCTATACTGCACTCCCGCCTCGCTATACCACCCCACCCACTATACTGCACCCCTAGCCCACTACACCACCCCACCTCGCTATACCATGCACCCCTACCCTGCTATACCCTGCTATACTGCCCCCACCTCACAATACTGCACTCCCACCTCGCTATACCACACATGCCCACTATACTGCACCCCAGCCCACTGTAGCACACCCCCACTTTGCTATACCATGCACTCCCACTGCACTGCACCCCTACCCCACTCTACTGCACACCTGTATCCCACTATACCGCACATTCCCACTACACTGCACCCCTGCACCCTGCTATACTGCACCCCTACCTTGCTATATCGCATCCCTACCCCACCACACTGCACATCCATATCCCACTATAGCACACACTCCCACTATACTGCCCCGCTAGCCCACCCTACTGCACAGCTGTACCCCACTACACTGCACCCCTACTGCGCTATGCCGCACTCCTGCCCTGCTATACCCTGCACCCCTAGCCCACCATACAGCATCCCTACCCACTACGCTGCACCCGTCTTGCTACACTGCACCCCTACCATGCTATATTGCTCTCCCACCGCGCTATACCCTGCACCCCTACCCCCCTCTACTGCACACGTGTACCCCACTACACTGCACTCCCACCCTGCTATACCCCGCACCTGTACCCCACTATTGGGGGGGGTACTGCACACTTGTACCCCACTACACTGCACCCCTACCGCGCTATGCTGCACTCCCACCCTGCTATACCGTGCACCCCTACTCTGCTATACCGCACACTTGTACCCCACTACACTGCACCCCTACACCCTGCTACACTGCACCCCTATCTTGCTATACCACACTCCCACCCTGCTAT